ATTTATTTGACCCAGTCACTTTTAGTAGTATATTGATTAATCTCCACATAATTTTGGATTTCTCTACTTCTGTTTTGCAGTTGATTTCTAATTTTGAAGCCCTGTGGTTAGAGAATATACTTGGTATGATTTCAGTCTTCTTAAATTTGTTGAGGCTAGTTTTGTGATCCAATATACGGTCTATCCTTAAGAATGTTCCATGTGCACTGGAGAATGTATAATCGTGTTCTGGAATGAAAAATTGTAAAGGCCAATTATGTTCATTTGCTCTCATGTGTAATTTAAGGCTAATATTTCTTTATTGAATTTCTGCTTGGTTGGTCAATCTAGAGTTGTCAAAGGAGTAGTATTAAAGTCCCCAACTATGACTGTGTTTTTGTTAGTTTCTCCCTTCAGTTCTGTGAGTAGTAGCTTTACATATTCCAGTGGTCCCTGTGTGCATATATATTAAGAAGTAGTATGTCTTCTTTGTGTTTTCCACTTTGAAATTTCATTTTATTTCAGATACTGTCTTTTTAAAACACTATTTTTAAAACATATGGTTTAATAAGAGTGACAAAGTAAAAATTACCTAGTGAGTTATGACTGCAAGCCTCAATTTTTAATTTACATTATTAATCACATTTAGTTCCTCTCTTTAGTTATTTATCAAATTTGTTTATGTCTTATTGATGTAGCATCCCCTTTATCATTATAAAATGTCCATTTTTGTACCTTGTCACCTTTATTATTTCAAAATCTATTTTGTCAGATGTAAGTATGGCTACACCTGCTTTTCTGTGGATGTTATTTGTCTAGAGAATCTTCTTTTGCACTTGCACTTTGAGTCTAACCTTGTCTTTGCACCTGAAATGTATCTCCTGGAGGCAGCATGTGGTTGGGCTTTGTTATCTGATCCAATCCATTACTCTCTGTCTCTTCACTGGTGAATTCAGTCCATTTCTATTTAGGGTAATTATTGATGTATGAGTATTTTATATAGCCATTTTTCTTTTGTTTTCCAATAGCTCTGTGCTTCAAATAGTACTTTTCCTTTTTATTTCTGTCTGTGGTCTTTGCTTGGTGGTATTCCAAAATTATTTCCTCTGTTTCTTCTTTTTTTAAGCTATATGTCTCAATTTGGATATTTTGTGTGTGATTACCATTAGGTTTATGAAAAAGAAAGTTTCATATATACAGATTTTTTTCCCTTTGAATCTGTCCAATGCCAGGCCTTCTTTGGAAACAGACACTTACCCCCTCTCCTTTCATGTTTTTGTTTTCATAAATTATCTCTGTTTACACTAAAAGATTGCTGATTATCTTATTTGCAGTGTTGTGGCCTTGTGTTCTTTCTTTCAGGTAGAATAACCTCTTTGAATATTTCCTACAATAGCGGTCTTGTGGTGACAAGATCTTTCAGTTTCTTTATGTCTGGAGAAATCTCACTTCTTCATATCTAAAGGATAACTTTGCTAGTTATATTGTTCTTGACTGGTAATTTCTCTCTTTCAGTAGTTTAAATATGGGATCCAGCAAAAGTAATGACTGCTTGAGTATGGTTGGTAGGGTAATAGTATGGGTATAATAATTTTTGGTTTTAATTAAACATTTCACTTAATATATCATATGGTATTGCTTGAGTGTGATATGTAACAGAATTACGTGCTTATGATATTGTCATTAAATTTTCTAATAAAAAAGAGGGGCATTATTTATGCCAGACCCTGTGTTTGTACCCACTGTCTTCTGGCTTGTAGAGTTTATGCTGAGAAGTACAATGATAACCAGGCGTCTTTATAGGTTTCTTTCTTCTTTATCTGGCTGCCTTGAGAATTCTTGCTTTGTCATTAATTTGTGACAATTTTAGCACAATGTGCCTTGAAGAAGGCCTCTTTGGATTGAAGTAACTAATTTTGTTTGCTTCTTGGATGCAATGATCTGAATCTTTCCATAGTTTTGAGAAATTCTCATCAACAATTTGAATAGTCTCTCCATTTCCTCCTCTTTCTCTTCTTCCTCTGGTATGCCTATAAATCTTATCTTGGTTTTTTTTTTTCTGATGGAATCAGATTAATCCCACAGTGCTTAAATCTCTCTCTCCTTCCCTCTGAGTCATTTCTATGTTTCTATTTTTTAATACATTTCATTGACTAAAATGTATTCCACCCTGCAACCCTATCCCACACACATTCCCCAACCTCAGTTCATGTCCATGGGTCCTACATATAAGTTCTTTGGCTTCTACATTTTCTATACTATTCTTAACCCCCGCTGCCTATTTTCTACCTACCATTTATGCTACTTATTCCCTGTACCTTTTCCCCCATTCACCACCCCCCTTTCCCCACTGACAAACCATGTGATCCCCATTTCTGTGATTCTGTTCCTATTCTAGTTGTTTGCTCAGTTTGTTTTGGTTTTTGTTTTCTTTTTCAGGTTCAGTTGTTGATAGTTGTGAGTTTGTTGTCATTTTAATGTGTAAAGTTTTGATCTCCTTCTTTTTCTTAGATAAGTCCCTATTTAACAGTTCACACAAGGGCTTGGTCATGATGAGCTCCTTTAACTTGATCTTATCTAGGAAACACTTTATCTGCCCTTGCATTCTGAATGATAGCTTTCCTGGATAGAATAATCTTGGATGTAGATTCTTGCCTTTCATGGCTTTGAATACTTCTTTCCAGTCTCTCCTTGCCTCTAAGGTTTCTTTTGAGAAAACAGCTGTTAGTCTTATGGGAACTCCTTTGTGGGCAATGCTCTCCTTTTCTCCTTTTGCTGCTTTATCTTCAATCTTGAGTAATGTAATTATGATGTGCTTTGGTGTGTACTTCCTTGGGTCCAACTTCTTTGGGACTCTTTGAGCTTCCTGACATCCTGGAAGTATACTTCCTTTGCCAGATTAGGGAAATTCTCCTTCATTATTTTTCCAAGTAAGTTTTCAAATTCTTACTCTTCCTCTTCTTCTGGCACCCCTCTGATTTAGATGTTGGAATGTTTAAAGTTTTCCCAGAGATTCCTAAGCTTCTCCTCATTTTTTTTGAACTCTTATTTCTTCATTCTGTTTTGGTTGAATGTTTATTTCTTCCTTCTGGTCCAAATCGTTATTTGAGTCCCAGTTTCCTACTTTTCACTGTTGGTTTCCTGTATATTTTTCTTTATTTCACTTAATATAGCCTTCACCTCTTCTGTTATTTTGCAGCCATACTCAATCTTTTCTGAGTGTCCTGATTATCAGTGAACTCTGTATCTGAAAGGTTGACTATTTCTTCTCCATTGCTTAGTTCTATTTTTGGAACTTTGATCTGTTCTTTCATTTGGGCCATTGTTTTTCTTGGCATGCCTGTTACATTGTAAGAGGCGGAGCCTTAGGTATTTGCCAGGACAGGGCAACCCACATTGTTGCATTGTGGTATTGATTGTGGTGAAGGGGTTAGAGAGAGGATAATGCCACTTGTTCAGCTCTCAGACGGCTTTCAGTCATTTCCCCCAATACCACACACAAATTGAGCCCTTCTGGCACTGATTCCCAAGTGGGTGGGCTTGTGTATGTTCTAAGACCCTGTGGGTCTCTCCAACAAACTCTCCTGTGAGGGTGGGAGTTTCTCCCACCCCGCATTTCCCACAGATTTTTACAGACAGAGGTTTTGAGGCTTTATTTCCCCAGGCTGGGACCCTGGGTCGTTCAGTCTTTCTCACTCTTCAGTTGTTCTTCCCACTTTATCCGCATGTAAATGTGGGACTGTCCAGTCTGCCAGCCACCACCTTGCTTCACACCCTGGCTGCCTATCTCCACTCCTCCTACCAGTCTGGATAAATGTTTCTTCTTTAACCCCATGGTTGTAGAACTTCCATACAGTTTGATATTAGGCAGTTCTGGTTATTTTCTATATTTACATTCTTCATTCTTCTTTTGGTTATGCAAGGAGGCTAAGTATAACTACCTACACCTCCATCTTGGTTGGAAGTCTAGATTTTTCATTTTCTTTCTGAGCTGCCTTTGCTACTGGGTTATTCATGGTATTTGGCAGTTTCCTTTTCTATCTAGGTATCTATATATTAGTGGCACTTCTCAGCAGTTCACTGTGAAGAGATCTTTCTATTATTTTCCAGTAGGTGGCACTGAATAACATTTGTTTTCTTTTTCTTTTTTCTTTTTTTTTTTTTAGCTTTGTGAAATCCCATTGCTGACCCCTACAGCTGATATCAGTGTGGCCATAATTCTTGGTGGTGACATTATATGGGGAAACCCAGTCACCTTCTTTGTTTTGTACTCCTGGTAATGGCAACCTCAGATCTCCATGGGGCCCCCCTCTGCCCCTGGACCAGGAATCAGTTACAGAGTATACCCTTAGCTCTGGGGACATAGTGATTCTGTAATACTATTTCTCATGTTTGCAGATAATGTGCTCCACAACCCACTATCAAGGGCAAAGGAAGGCAACTTTTGGTCATTCATGGAATAGCCAGTTTTCAAGACTTTCCTTCTTTGTCTGGAATTCTAACCACCCAACAGCCACGGTAGCATCCCCATGCTGTGCGCTTTCCAAGATCTCCAGGCTCCGCCACAGCTTGTGCTGATCTCTCCAACAAGAATGCCCACCAAATTTCTCTGCTCCTTCTAGTTGAAGGGAGTGCTAGCCATAAGTGGTTTTCTCCCCTCTTCTGACTGTGCTCTGCCATGAGCTCCCAGATGCAGGGCTGCATCCATGGCTAGTCTCAGGTTTACAACCTTCTCACCTACCATTTGTTCCTGCTTGCCCAACTTTAGATGCTTCCATGCACGGATCTTTCAGGCATGCCTGTATGTTGAGTAGTGAATCCTTTGTTGAGTTATGGCTGTTGAAATCACTGAAATTTCAGTGAGAGAGACCAAAGGTATCTCTTATACCATCATTATTCTGACACTAGCAGAGGATCATTATAATGGATGGGAAATTCATTCTGTAAACATACATGGACTAAAAAACAAGTTTAGGCCTTTTCAGTGTCAATGTCTCTACATTAGGGTTATGCATACTTACAGATAAAGATAATTCTTCATGTTTGGTCTTCACAACTGGTTTTTCTACATTTTCATTGCCAATTCCATAGGTTTCTTCCAAAGTAGAAACAACCTATGAGAAAATCAAAGTAAATTAAGTACTTCCATAGTTTAAATTATTATAGTAAACTTAAAAAGATATTAAGTCAACCATATCAGGACCTTTTTGGCAGTAACATTTATTTCTGCCAGTGTCATAAACTTAAATGTTCTGTCTCGTTCCCCATCTTCTATCATCACAAAGAAGTGATGAGCAACAGTCCTTGATGCTATTTCCTAGCAAGAGATGCCCTAAAATGCTTCCACTTCTGTGTTGACAGATATCTAAAATTAGAGAATCTGCCTATGCATTGCTGAAGCATCACCTCTACCCACCACCAAAATATTCCTCAAAATATGACTCAAACTTCTTGTTTGAAGAGAGTGGGGAAAATAGAGAGACCAGAAGCAATAATTTTTTAAAGCAAATTCTCTAAACTAAACCTTCAAACTTTGAGCAAACTTCTATTTTGCAAGTTCTACAAACTATATTCTTTTTATGTTTGTGCTATTCCTTGATGTTCCCACTTGGTGTCTGCTACATTTACAATTCAATTCTATATCATTGGGCAAAAAGAAACCCAGAAAAAGGGAGATTTCTTTCCCAACACTAAGAGCTCAAGTTTCTAAAGTGCAAAAAAGAGTTGACATAACAGGTATGGGACTTCAAAAAACCTAGTTTTAGAAAACTCTGCTTGCATCTCAGAACTTAGAATTCAAGAAAGTCCCCACCATTCATTAACTGATTAATGGCTCACTGTCCCTAAACTTTTTGTACAAACAATTAAGCTGAACATTTGCTTTCCTTCAGAGAGTCTGAAATTTCTTTTTTTAAAGATTTTATTTATTTTTTTATTTTTAGAAAGAGGGGGAAATGAGGGAGAGAGGGAGGGAAATCAATGTGTCATTGCTTCTTACATACCCCCTACTGGGAACCTGGCCCACAACCCAGGCATGTGGCCTGACTGGGAATCAAACTGGTGACCCTTTGGTTCACAGGCCAGCACTCTATCTACTGAGCCACACAAGCCAGGGCAGGAGTCTGTAATTTTGATACATGACAAGCAAAGAATACCAAAGTGATCAAGCTCTTATAAAACCCTGGGCACTGAGTCTCCAATGAATATATCTTGTACACATTTCATATGTTTTGTCACAGTTTGTTGTGGGAAGAATTAAACATGTCTTCTGTGACTCCAAAGGGAGAGGAATCTTGGAAGTTGGACCTGTTTTTCTCTACAGTTCACCCACGTGTCTTTTTCCTTTGCTAATTTTGCTTTGTATCCTTTCACTGTAATAAATCTTAGCTATTGATATGACTTATGCTGAGTCCAGTGAGTCACCTAGCAAATCACTAAACCTGGGGAAGGTCATGAGGACCCTCAACACAAGGACCAACAAGTGACTTACCATCTTCAGATGCTTGGTAATTTTCCTGAGCAATTCATTTTCTGCTATTAACTCCTTTGTCTTACTTGATGGAATGGGCAAAGCATACCTCACAATGGATTCTCCCGTTGGTGGAGATCTTAAAACCATTGGTTCAAGTTTATCACGTACTAATTTTGAACTTTGTTTTTCCTTTGGTTTAGGTGACAACGGTGAATTAAGTACTCCTTTTCCGTAACTTAATTCTGGAACATTTGCCAGTTTATTACTAGAGGACAACAGATGTTTTACTGGCTTCATTTTGTTATTTGGCTTCTAAGTTATAGGTGAAAAACTTTAGTCCTCCCTGTGAAGAAAAGATGATTTCAGATTTTAACTGATGGTGGGACTATCAACTGCCATGAAGATGGTGAATCCCAAAATCAACTCTGGAGAAATTACAAAATAAAATGGAAACATTCCTAACATCAAATAAAAAAAAATGTAAGACTCTCCTAGAGGTGACTGAAGGCTGATTTATGTATAGGCATTTAGAATGGGTGCTGACAGGAAAGAAGAAGACAGTGGCAGCAGTGAAATAATACATTTAGAAAACTAAAATATTATTATTGGCCCTGGCTGGGTGGCTAAATTGGTTGGAGTATTGTCCCATGCACCAAAAGGTTGTGGGTTCAATCCCTGGTCAGGGCACATATGCAAAGCAACCAATCTATGTTTCTCTCTCACATCAATTTCTCCTCCCATTCCTCTCTCTCTAAAAACAATGAACATTCTTCAGATCAGAATTAAAATATGTTATTCTTAGCTTTCCCTCATTTTGAAACTAATATATGCTCTTCAAATATATCACTATTTTCATAGAAGTAATATGTCACAGGGTATGAGCAGAGTACTATAAGGGGTCCACCAAAGTCATGCCAGCATAAGGAAGTATAGACTGGGCAGGCCTTAAGACTTTCACTCTACTTCTCTTTCTCTCCAAAGCTGATTAAGACTCAGGACAATGCCTCCTCCCAAAGAGTTTGAAAGTATATACCTGACCATGAGAGTTATCTGATAGACTGGCAAAATTGATACAGAAAATCATTGGCTCTCTATTGTCTAAAGCTCTCCAAACCTAGACTAGTCCCATTGTTTCGGGTTAAACTGTGTCCTCCAAAAAGATATGTTCAAGTCCTACCCCTTGGAACCTGCGACTATGACCACATTTGTAAATACAGTCTTTGCTGATGTAATCAAGTTAACATGAGGTCATGCTGGTTTTTGTTAGGCCCAAATCCAATGACCAATGTCATTATAAGACAGACATGTGAAGACATGCACAAAGACAAACAAGGAAGAAGGCCAGGTAATGACATAGGTAGAGATTGGAGTGATACAACTGTGAGCCAAAGAATATTAATATGAAAAATTGACAGTACCCACCAGATGCTAGGAAGAAACAGGAAAAGAGTCTTCCCTAGAACCTTCAATGGGGAGCATAGCCCTGCCAATATGTTCATTTCAGAAGGCTAGACCCCAGAAATGTGACAGAATAAATTTCCACTGTTTTAAGACACCCAGTTTGTGGTACTTTGTCATACCAGCCTTAGGAAACTATACATACACTGATGGAAATGATTTAAGAGAAAGCAAAATGTATGTGATGGAGAGGAAAACTGCCAGGCTGATATCCTTGAGTAAACAAGAAGAAATGGGTCTTAATGCACAAATGAGCTGGTGCACTTTAGATGGGTACAGGAAAAGTTATCTGTAATAACAGACAGGAAGGTGGAAATGTGGGCTACTTCAAGAAACCAGTAAGAAAATGGAACCCTTGACAGGTGCTAGAAAATGACCTCACATATAGATCCATGAAGTCCACATTTATATAAATGTTACACGTGATGAATACTTATATTTACATAATTGAAAACATCCTAAATCCAGATTTAGAGAAGCTTCAGGTTGAGATGAAGGCATAGGTAGATATGCTTCACTTCTTCATACAACCAAAAGGAAAACAACCAATTTAAAAACAAAAAACAACCAGAACATCCAGAATATCAAACACTATGGAAGTCAGATAGCCAAGGAGTTAAAGAAGAAATATGCATCCACACTGGTAGGAGGGGCAGAGCTGGGCAGCTGGAGTGGAGAGGATGTGCAGCAAGGCAGCAGTTGGTGGACTGGGCAGATGAGGCAGTGGGTGGCTGACTGAGCAGTCCCACATTGGTGTGGGGATAAACCAGGAGGAACAACTGGGGAGCAAGATAGACTGTGCAACCAAGGGTACCAGCACCAGGAAAACAAAGTTTCAAAGCTTCTCGCTGTAAAAACCTGTGGGGGTTGCAGTAATGAGAGAAACTGCCAGTCTCACAGGAGAGACTGTTGGAGGGGTCCATGGGGTCCTAGAACATACTCAAGCCCACCCACTGGGAATCAGCACGAGAAAGGTGCAATTCACTTGTGGGTAGTGGAGGAAGTAACTGAGAGCCGGTCAAGAGCCAAGCAAGCAGCATTGTTCCCTCTCTGATCCTTCCACCACATACAGTACCACAATGCAGTAACGTGTCCTGTCCTGACCAATACCTAAGGCTCTGCCCCTTACAACATAACAGGTGCACCAAGACAAAGAAATTGGCCCAAATGAAAGAATAGATCAAAACTCCAGAAAAATAACTAAGCGACGAGGAAACAGCCAACCTATCAGATGCAGAGTTCAAAATACTGCTAATCAGGACACTCACAGAAATGATTGAGTATGGCTGCAAAATAACAGAAGAGGTGAAGGCTATATTAAGTGAAATAAAGAAAAATATACAGGGAAGCAACAGTGAAGGGAAGGAAACTAGGAACTCAAATCAGCTCTTTGGAACAGAAGGAAGAAATAAATAGTCAACCAGAACAGAATGAAGAAACCAGAGTTCAAACAAATGAGGTGTGGCTTAAGGAACCTCTGGAACAATTTCAAATGTTCCAACATCTGAATTGTAGGGGTGCCAGAAGGAGACAAAGAAGAGCAAGAAACTGAAAAACTTATTTGAAAAAATAATGAAAGAAAACTTCCCCAATCTGGTGAAGGATATAGACATGAAAGTCCAGGAAGCTCAGAATACCAAACAACTTGGACCCAAAGAAGAACACACCAAGACACATCATAAGTATATTAGCCAAAATTAAAGTTAAGGAGAAAATCCTAAAAGCAGCAAAAGACAAGGAGACAGTTGCCTACAAAGGAATTCCTAAAAGATTATCAGCTGATTTCTCAAAAGAAACCTTGCAGGCAAGAAAGGGCTGGAAAGAAATATTCAAAGTCATGAAAAGCAAGGACCTACATCCAAGATTACTCTATCCAGCAAAGCTATCATTCAGAATGGAAGGGAAGATAAACTGTTTCCCAGATAAAGACAAGTTAAAGGAGTTCATCATCCCCAAGTCCTTACTATATATGAAATGTTAAAGGGACTCATTTAAGAAAAAGATAAAAACTATAAACAGTAAAATGACAACAAACAACTATCAACAACTGAACCTAAAAAAAAAAACTAAGCAGACAACAAGAATAGGAACAGACTCACAGAAATGAAGATCACAGGGAAGGTTATCAGCAAGGATGGGGAGGGGGTAAAATGGAGGAAAAAGGTACAGTGACTTAGAAGCATAACTGGTAGGTACAAAATAGACAGGGGTAGATTAAGAATAGTATAGGAAATGGAAAAGCCAAAGAAATTATATGAACAGTCCATGGACATGAACTAAGGGGAATGGGGAATGCTGGTGGGGTGTGCAGGGCAGAGAGGGATAAAGGGGGGCAAAAATGGGACAACTGTAATAGCATAATCAATAATATATACTTAAAAATAAATAAGTAAAACCATCCTAAATCATAGGAGGAGGATTATAACCATAACTTGGCCAAAGTTTATCAGTCACTTTTCACCACAAAGACAACTGTTTTCTGGTTTTCCTTCAAGGATAAATTTGATATTAATTTCAAACCATAATGATACAGTATACAAAATGGGCAGGGGGAGGATTATTGAAAAGCATGAATTGCCTGAATTCTGCATCAAAAGGAGCACGACTGCCTCTGTAGAACCCACACAGAGGGAAAATTAAGAGGAAAGATGCTTTTGCTAGAGAACCTAATGAAAATTCTCACAATGAAGAAGGAGGAAGCTCACCAAGTCTTCCCTGGGAGGAGTGGGTTTACCTGCTGAGGCCATTGGGAGTCAGGTTTCCGGGCGGTTTTCTTGTTTATGCGGGATCCAAGTTGACCAAATTGGAAATTCTGTGCCGCCCAAACTTCCTTCAAGACAGAAACCCACAAACCGCCAGACTCCAGCCCTGCTAGTTGACAAACTGACACTGAGGTCGAAAGCAAAGGCCTACCGTTGCGCCCTGGGCGGCAGCAATAATGACAGGGTGCAGGCCACAGGGTTAGGCAGTTGATGCCACGTCAACGACGCCTGACGCCAGGCTCGAAGTTCGATGCTCAGTGCTGAAAGAGGACCCTGGCTCCTGTATTTCTCTGAGTGGAAGTGAGAAATCTAGACATAGACAACTGTGGAGTCTTCAAGAACAATAATACATGGATCGCGACCTCATTCTTTCTTGCACTGTCACCCCTTCACAAGTGCAGGTTCTTTCAGGCATTTAGCCAAAAGAAATGAAACATTCTGTGTTTTGAAAACTTTGGGCATCACCAGCAAAAACTGAGCCCCAGGCCCTCATCTGCATTGGCTAAAGCTCTTTTCAGTGTGACATTTTGTGGAGTCCATTTACCAGATTCTGTGCTCCCAGGGGTTTCTGCAGCAGCTTCGAGATTTTATCAATAAAGTGGACTAGAAAGAAGAGTTGTGCCACAAAAATCTGTCACCATCCGTTTTCACGTACTCTCATATGCAATTTTCCAAGGTAGAATTTTTTTCAGTAGTTTAACTTCGATAAATTATGTCTTTTAAAAATTGAAAATTATTAATGTAAAACATTTTCCAAGTGAAACTTTTTTGACCAAAGTAAAATATTTAAAAATATCAACTTGATGTAATTTCATTGTTAATGATGGCTGTGTTTAAGAACAGCCACTCCAAATTCCTGAAAATTTAAAAATCAGCTCACAAGAGCTAATGCAAGCAGCCTCTAGTATAATATTGGCAGTTATAGTTGGGATTAATTGAAAAGGGAGGACAAGAGGCTTTTGGAATGCCAGAAATGTCTCCTGCTCTGACTTTGTGGGTGTGTTCAGAAATCATGAAGGTTAACAGTTATCATTTGTGCATTATTTCAGTATGTATTATGTCAACAATAGAAAAATA